CTTTTTGAAAAAAAAAATTACGTAAAAGCTTAATGCTCTTTTTTCTCTTTTTTTTTTTGAAAGAAGGAAAGGAAAGCATGGTGAGGAGACTGCTGCTGTTATTTATTTTTTCAATTCATTTTCAGTGGGTAGGAATAGTGGAAAGACGTGGCAGGAATGCGGTGGAAAGAGGAGGAAATGCAAAAAAAGAAGAGTGCCGAAAAACTTTCTTTTTTTTTTTCTACGGAGAGTAGGAAGAGGTTTCCATCTTTATATTTCTTTTACTGCTGCTACTGCTGTCGCTATTGCTGTTGTTGGTGCCGTTGCTGATGTCGATGTTGGAGCTGCTGAAGGAAAAGTACATAGAGAATTAAGAACCAAAAATATTTTTTTTCATTCATCTACATTTCTATCACCTTTGATTGAAAAATTTCTTTTGTTAAAAAAAAAAAAAATTTCTTTTTTTTTGAAAAATTTATTTCTGGAGGCTGGCACAAAACGGACCCGACATTGCTGCCAGAGGACGAGAAGGAAGGGGACGAGAAGGAGAACACGGAGGAGGAGGAGGAGGAGAGAGAGTGTACGGGTGGTTGGGGAACATCGGCAACAAACCGTCATGAGAACTGATGTCGATTAATAAGTATTTGAAAAAAGCGGCAGCAGCAACAACAGCACTTCAGTGCATTCGTCTGCTCTAAGGCCATCCTACAGCTTGCTTCTAAGGGGGGAGGGGGGGGGGAGGGCGCTGTTGTCTTGATGGTGACGATGATGATGGTGACATTGATGGTGATGGTGATGATTAGAATGATGAGACTCCGACATCGACATCAACAGCGGTGATGATGAAGATGATGATGCTTTAGTTTGTGCGACTATCAGATTTATTGCCGCTCCAGAAGGCTTTTTAAATTTTCATTTCTAGAAGAAATTTTTAACCAAAAAGTTTTGGAAGTAATTTTGTTTTAATAATTAAAAACGAACAGACTGATCATTGTTTAGTTTTCGCTGTATGTATGTGTGCACATATTTTTCTCTTCTTTTTTTTTTTTACTTAAGATGATGTTGCTCTGGTTTTCTGTTTTGGAAGGAACTGGAATTGGTTTGGGGGTGTGAAAAAAGTGGGAAGCAATCACTGTTTTTTTATTACGGTTATTATTATACGTATTATTATTATTATTGTTATTGTTATTATTACTATTATTATTAGTATCAATACAAGTATTAGTATTAGTACCACACTATTAGTATTAGTTTTAGTGTTGGTACTGGTATTGCTAGAGGATAATCTAGACGTCGTTGTTGATAGACTGTGGTGAATGATTAAGGAGAAGGAATGTTTTTCGAAGAAAAAGAGGAAGAAAAAAAAAAGAAGAAATTCTGTTGCTTGGTTATTTATGCAGGTTTTCTTTCTCGGAGTTCTCTTTTTTTTTGCCGTTCTTATTGTTGTTTGAGTTCTACTTTTTTTATTTTTTTATTCTTTTTTTTTTCGGAGACTTAAGTTTTTATCTTGTTTGTGTAGTAGGTGTTCTTTTTTTTTGGTTCGTTCCAAAAAAAAAAAGAGGAGGAGGGCGAGTTCTGGGAGAAGAAGGAAGGGGATACTCCTACAAATTCTATGCTCTGCAGAGCCTTCATTTTTGGTTTTTGGTTGTTCCTCATTGATCCGTCATCATCGTCTATTCACTCATCTGTTGTTATATGCGCAAACATACACATACACACACACACACACTCTCAAACACATCATTTTTGGGTTTATGCCTTCTTTTCTTTTTTTGGCTTCTTTTGCTGTTGCTGCTGCCGTCAAGCATGTAAAGCTTCAAAGTTCTTGACGCTTCGTTCGATGTGGTCGTCACTTTTTTTTTTTCTAAACGTTCGTGAGAGGTGAGAAGGGAGAAGCAAATGATGCCATCATCAAACAGTGTTCAAAATTGATTTCTTCTTTGATTTTTGAATATTTAGTTCGTTTTTTTTTTTCTCGCCATCTTGCCTGTAGTTTTTGTTGCTGTTAAAATGATGGCCAATTCATTGGATCGTTTTCTGTTCCTCAGTTGCAAGCTTTTCAATTTGGAACCATGTTCTTTTCTTCTGGTTTGGTAAAATGATAACAGACAAATACAACAGACACAGCGTTTTGTTGAAGTTGATGCGAAATGGTTTTATCATTTCTGCTGTTTATTGTCTGCAGCAAACGAAAGAAAAAAAAAAGGAAGAAAAAAAAAGTAGAAAAACAGAGGAAAATAAGCTTTTTTTTTGTTGTTGTTGTTCCTTGAACATTAGGCTGTTGTTTCTGTAAATTTAATTTGAAACTCTAAAGGGGGCGAAAAAAATGGCAAAGAAAAAAAAAGAAGAAAATGAAATAGAAAGATTTTTTTCTATAAATAATAATCGAAAAAGAGAAAAAAAAAAAGGTGAAAAAAAAACTATGTATTTGTATGTGTGTAAATTTTGCTGTGGAATTGGGAAGCAAAATGGGAAAGGGTTAAAAAGTTTTCCCCAAATGGTTTTTTTTTTTTTGTTGATGTTGGTGTTTCTGTAGTTTTTCTGTTTTTTCCACTGTTCAGTTTGGCATTGGTTTTGATGGATACGGAGAAGATGGACGGAAAGAAAAAAAAACGAAGCAATGGAAAAAGATGGTAGTATCAATTGAAATTTCTATGCGTTCAAATTTTTTTGCCACATTTGTTGTGGATTCTTTTTTTTTTCCTTTTTTTTTTGTCTTTTTCAGTTTTAGGTTTAGAAAAAGGAAGACGAAAAGGAAACCTATATGTTTATAAATTTCTTTCAAATTTTTTTATTTTTTTTTCATTATTTATTATTTTTTCCTTTT